AGGAACTTCTAAACAATTATCATTAAGCTTAGTGGAATTTTTGAAGTATTGAGTATCCAGTAATTTTAAACATAATGAAGAAAAATTAAGCAGTTGTTTTAAAGTATCTTAGTTTTTTAGTTTCTCAGTGTCTTGCTAATCATGATGGCATCAATAACTACTAGCTAAAGCCTCAAGTATACACCTAGAATGAATGTCACTATTGAAGGAAAGTGGATATATGTCTACATTGCAGATGCAGTGGCCTCCTATCTGATCTGCCTTCCTCATTCTCACTCCCTGTTTGTCAATTCCCAGCCAGAGCATCATTTAAAAACACATCCTGTCACATCCCTGTGCAGATGGTCCAGAGCCTAAAAGCCCAAGTCCTTACAGATCCCTACACGACCTTCACCCTTATCAGCCCCACTATGTCGCCCCCCGCTTTCCTTCTCACTTACTCCTCCCCCACCACGCTGGCCTCCCAGAATGAGCTAAGCAAGCTTCCACCCTCAGGCATTTGCAATCGTACCTCTTCTGCTTGGAACACTTTTCCTTCAGTATTCATAAGACAATTTCCTCACTTCTTCTAGGGTCTGATCAAATGTCTCCTTATCAGAGAGGCCTTCCCAGCACTATATATACATACACACACTCACACATATATATGTAATTCCCCAGACACTCCTACTCACATCCTGCTTTTTTCCCCTATAGCATCTCTCACACCTGACATTTTCTATGTCTCTACGTGAGAGCAGAACTGTTCTGTTCACTGTTTTAACCCCAGGATCTAGACTGTGTCTGATATATAGAGGGTGCTCAATAAATATTTATTAAATGAAAGAATACATTCCAATAGCCTTCTCCATAACATTGAATTTTTCCAATTGTTTTCGTCTCCATTTGGATTAGGCTGTCATTGTTTTTATCCTGTAACACAGTGACAAAGAGGTTACGCTTGGGATAGACATGGCTGTCGGTGTGTCATGGTTCTCTTGTGATTGCATTTTTAGTATTTTTTTGGGGGGGATTGATTTTTAAGACAGTCACTCATTTTGTCAGGGTTAGTTTAGCTTAAACGAGATAATGTAGTCCCTACATTAACCTAGTTGGGTACATATAAATGCAGTATGAAGTAATACATAGAATCAAACTATGAAAGAATGCCTTCAGCACAACAGGCTTACTCCTTCAGGACATCTCGCTATTGTGTGTGACACAGGAGACTCTGACATTCACCTAGAAGGCAGGGTGCATTAGTCACAGGAGGTAGGTTATGCTGCAGTAACAAGTAATCCCTAGATCTCAGTGGCTTAACACAATAAAAGTCTATTTCTCACTCTCAGGAAGACCACTGTGGATCAGGTGGACCTTCTGCATGTCATCACTTCACCTCTAGGGGTCACTGCAGTAGAAAAGAGAAGACTGTGATCAGCCCTACATGGCCAGTCCCATTGGCCAGAGCCTAGTCACATGACTCCAGCATAACTGCAAGGGAGGCTGGGAAATATAGAGGAGCCCATGGGTATTTGTTGAGATTAAAAAATGTCTTCCACACAGTTTCAATCCATATGTATTAAATAGTAGTAAAGTATAATTTTTTCCTTTTTCTAGTATAAAAAAATAAATATACATATTTCCTTTGCCTAGTTCGCCAGAGCATTTTTATGTGTACACCATATTCTGGAGATCACAGCTAAGATAATCATGACATAAAACCCATATTTAACCAAAATGTGATATATCATCTTAATTTGTCATTTTCTTCTTTGTCCTAAAATGGAATAGAAAAAAATATCTAGTTAATAATGGTGTCTTTTAAGAGATTTTCTGGATAATCAAGATTTATTGCCATGTCCACACAGACATTTGTCACCTGTGTTTCAATAGGCTGGTCAATAATGTGAGCCAAGACCATCTTTAGGGAGGAGATTAACAAAGAAGGAAGAAGGCAAAGGCCATGCTGATGCTTACGTATTCATGAGGTTCTGTTTCAAGATCAGGTCTGTAACTTATAGATTAGAAAAACTGCTGACAGATTTTATTTGGGATGATTCTGCCTATCAAGGGCAAAGAAGAGGAATTAAAAACATTCTCAAGGAAATGGAAAACAACAAACTGAAACTATTTGCTGAATATGTGCTAAGTGAGTGCTAAGTGGAGGTTCTGGGTCCATTACAGGCAGCCCCAGTCAAAGGAGAGAGTGATCAGGGGTTGAATGGGTGGGAAACAGAGCTGAGAGTAAGTAGCAGGTGATGAAAATGAGAACAAAGCCCTTTGGTAAAAAGGGTCAAGGAAGGTGCCACACACAGTGTGGGCCTCATGGATCTTTGAGGGCAGGTGACCTCACCCCCTCAGCGCCAAGCTCACCCACGGGCACTTTCTCTTTCTCTTGGCTTTCCAGGATCACGTTCTTTGTTGAGGTGATCATCTCTATACATGGTCTCCCCAAATATGCCTGCAGCTTAACACATGACCCGGCTTCCAGCCCCCAAGGGAGTCCACATCCCCAGGTTTGGACAACTTCTCCCATTAGCCCTGTTTCCCTGTGGAAGGTTTGGATGCTTCCAAGGCTTGGCAGAACTCCCTTCAAGGGAAGGGGGCATGGTTCTGTGCTGGAATGCTGATTTAACCTCCCAAAGAGAGTCCAGGTGACTTGCTCCTGATTGTCTTCAGAAGGACTTTTTTCTACCTAAACTTCTGGAAGAGTGTACTTCCTTGAGTTGGGTATGTGATGTCAGCCTATTCCCAAGATGTGCAATGAAGTCAGTAGAACCATCTATGATCTCATGAGCCAAATGCATTTCTATATTTTCTGCATTAGGGATGTGCTGGTACCAATAGCAACAACAACCACAAAATCTTCACCTCACCCCAACAAAATGCAACCTTTGTTGTCACCTACCAGCTGCTACCCTGGGTTATTAATGGGCTGCCTTCTCCAGCCTCTCATTACATCACATGGCCCATCCTACAGTCTTTGTTTGCATTTCTTACCTAACTCCTCTGATTTCTGACAACTCTAAATATCTTTCTACTGGTCTCTCCCAGTTCGTGTGTCCTCAGGCCAGGTAGGCTGCTACCTACCACCCTCCACTGATGGCATCTTTCCTCTTTCTAGTGGCCAGTTCTGCCTTTTCTAACACTACTTGGTATCAGCAAACTGTAATTGAGCAAAGCTGTAGTAAACAGGGAGAGGGGAGGAAACAACTCCTCCTGGGCTACCCTAGACCCCTATCTAGGAAAAAACACCTGGGCTAATGGTTCCTGCACAATGGTTTACTAATGTTATGATCTTGGACAAGTCATTTAATATATCTGAAACTCAAGATTCTTCATCTATAATTGTGGATAATAAAACCTGTCCTGCCCCCATATAGCTGTTGTAAGAGTCAGGGTGAGTCCACAATGACATGCAAAGGATCCTGAAAATGTGAGCTAATGTCGTTGATCTGTTATCAAGAAGGTCTAGGTGTTGGTTTTTAGTCTCTTTATTTTACAATGTTATAAACCAATGTTGCCACAATAAACAAAAAAAAAAAAGAAAAAGAAAAGAAAAGATTAAACTAAAAACTAACTAAACAAAATTTGCTTGTTATATTATTTATACACAGCTTGCATTTATTATTTAAAAGTGTCCCCCTCCCTTTTCTGTGTTGCCTAAAAACACAGATGTCAACTGATCTTCTAGTTACACTTTATTGTTATCGTAAGCAAGGAATGGTAGATCAGCTACCTTTCTTCTAGGTATTGACCTGGCACACAACTATGTGCCTGGCACAGTCTTCACCATTTCATTCTTCCACTTGTAAGAATACAAAGTATTCTCTACTCTGCTCATCTGTGGTATTAAAGTCCCTTCCAGTGAACACACTTGGGATGGAGGGTGGTCTGCAGATTTCAAGGTTAGGGGAGAGGTTAGAGCCAGCTGTCAGGATGAGTCTATGCATGAACACACCAGCTTTTTGCAGACACAAACTCTTAATACCGAAAATAAATGTCACTGGGTACAGAATCTCACATTTTTATGATATTAATATTGATCTTGTGTTTGTATATCAAATAAAAATGACTGAACAGCATTTTAATGTAGTGGAATGCTTATTGATTCTCTGCACTCAGGGAAGTACATTTGTCTAGTCTTCAGGATTAATTAGAGTAAATAATTTACACATAGAAGAGGTGAAGTGCAAGTTTAATGTTTAGAATAAGAGACAATCTGGAGCATTTATTAAGCTACTACCTCTAGTAAGGGAATCTATCTTTATCCAACTTCTCCATTTGTAGAATAACTGTCCCTACCCCACACACAAGTCTTGGAGCTCTGCTTTAAATGACAAAAGTCAGTCAAGAGGACTGGCTGCTATATTCTCTTACACAATTGTGCCAGGCATTTGATTCTTCACTGGGCAGAGGAAGAAGCTGATTTCAGGAGAAATTGGGATTGAGGGGTGAAATTTAAAATGATTGCCAACTTACTTGTCACAACCCACCACAACCATTTTGAAACTTATTAAAATTACTCATTTTGCATATTCATGTGGTAAGAAAAGTCAATCACATTGGCATTAATGTTCCATAAGTATTTATAGAATTATTGAATTGAAGTGAGGTTTAGAAGGGAGAGAATGTGTAACTATCATAGACCAATTCATACTGGCCCTGTTGGATCAAGAACAAAATATCAAAGCTATCTTGCAGGGGAAACAAGCAAAAACTGCTAGTCATGTAGCAGGAGCATGTGCAGAAGATGGGAACCTTGTCTTCAGATGACCTTGAGCTGCCTAGGAACCAAAAATTCCCTAACTATGGAATTCAACGTGATGTGAAAGTGGCAATGGGGAGCTTAATAAGAAGTGAGAGGTCCTTTGATTTGTAGCACCCTGGACTTATGAGACCCTTATTCTCCTGTCATCCAATCAGATTCAGCGAAGCTAGCATTTTGCATAACCAGTCACTCCCAACTTCTAAAGTCTGTCCTGCTTCAGCTCTGGGACACAGATTTGAGCCTTGCCTCCTGTTTCCTTGCTTATCGACCTTGCAATAAAGCTCTTTCTTTTCTCAATAGCCAGTGCCATAGTACTGTATTCTACTTGCATTGGGCAGTGAGCCCTTGATCAGTACAAATGGAGTAAGAGTATAAGAAGCATTAGTTTCAGATATCCATTTGTGCCCATTGTCGTTCTTCTTTCTCAGTGTGCTCAGAAAGCACTGAAAGGCTTGATCTTCCACAAAAGGAGGTCCAAGAGGGATTTGAAGTCCTGGATGGGGTCCTCAGGCCCAGAAATCAAGCATCTAGGGCTTCTCAGACTTATTTGCTTGTTTTGCCCAGTGTCAAACATTGAATGGCCTTGATTTAGGAGACAAATTCCTGATTTAGGATAAATGTTTTGGATATAGAAGAAAGACCTTGATTTTTAAAAAGGTCATTTATTATTTATTAATCAAATGCATGTTCTTTTCAAGACATCAGGCCAGGTCCTATGCGATGCCTTATTCTTTTCACTCAGTAAGTTTTTGATGTGCCTGACAATGCATGATAGGGTTATAGGAAGAAAAAGTATAGGTTAAAAATAGTTAACAACAGTCAGTACTTAGCACTGAATCTTTTTTCTGAATTAACATATGATTCTTTTCCTTCTTTATTCTTAGCTTTACCATTTTTTTTCTTTGAAATATTTGTTTTTTGAAAAATGGGTCTTATTCAAACACGGTACAAAATTCAAGGTGGACAAAGGGTATACAGTGACATTCCCTGCTACCTGTGTCCCCCAGCTCCCATCCTTGGAGGCAACTAAATTATTAGTTTTTTACTTATCCTCCTACAGATATCTTCTAAATATTTTAAAATAAAATGAGAATATAAGAGAAGAAAGCTCTCAGTCATAGACACCCAGTATTTCTCTCCCACGTGTTCTTTGTGGGGTCTTATTTCTCTTCTCCAGGGGTCTTGGGGGGGTCAAGAAGGTCTAAAATTTGAACTCTTTTAGGGGTAGGTTCTAAGAAAGCACATTTTTCCCCTTCTTCTGGGAGCTCAGGTCAGAAAAGTGAACGCAGGGTTGGAGACTGTGGTGAATGTGAAATTTTTGGGTCCATAAATGGCTCTGAGAAAATAAAACCTCTCCTATACCCAGGAAAATCCCTCTCCACCATAGGTTGAGGGTCAAACAACATGTGACCCTGGGGCACAGCTGGTGGTGCAAGGACTTACAGCTCTTGGGCTTACAGTCCAAGTTCTAGGGTCTGAAGATAAGAAGGTCTTTCTTTTCCTGTTGGTAGACTCCTTGTGAACTTTCAGATCTCACTATGATTCAGTTCTCACCAACAGCTCCCAGGAGTGTGAGATGTGAGTTGTAAGTGTGAGTTGCCGGGGACACACAAGACGTGTTGTCCAGTCTCCTGGGTCTGTTAGGCTGATTCTTTTTGATCTATTGAAACTTTCACTCTACAGATTGTCAGAAATGCTGAGGTGGCTGCTGACTGTGGACAGATCTAAGGTCGTGTGTCCTTGAAATTTTAGCATCCTTGGCTTCATGGCCCTCCTTCAGCTGGGGCTGCAGCTCCTGGATTGGAAGGCTCACCGTCCCAACTGGAATCAGGCTCGGCTTTGATCTTGGAGAGATCTCAGGACATCAGGGATGAGACACAGCAACACCCTGGAGGGTCTTCATCTCCAGGTGGTCCATAGAATGGTGGCAGAGTTTGTATTCCCATACCCTGGACATGGGCTTCAGGAGGTGGTTCAGAGAGATGGGTTAGCTCCAGGTTTCTTGCAAACTTTCAGCCACGGCCTCCAACCTGGATCAGGAGCCCCCTCTGGCCACATATTAGAGAGCTTTTCTGTCCCAGTCCTGGGCCACACTACTTAGTATCACTTTTACCTAATCTTTCCTTGATTTCAGAGAATGGACTTAAGGGTAAAAAGGAAGAGCATTCACTCAAATGGAGACTCAATCACGCACCCCTTTGCAGTTTACATATATTTTCCCTTCTAATATTTTACAATGTTTAAACCATTTTTATTAGGAAATATAGCACACTACAAAAAAGTATACAAAACAGAAATGTGGAGCATAATAATGCATCGTAAATTGACCAGGACCAACCATTACTGGTACCACAGAAGCCTCCTTCATCCCTCCCAATCACCGCTCCTCCTTCTCACCCAGAGACCACCACCATCTTGGCTTTTGTTGTCTCTTCCTTGCTTTGATTTATTCTTTTGCCTCTTAAGCATGCATCCTGAAACACAGTCATTTAGTTTTGACTTTTATATATAAATAAATTATATATAATATGCATTCTTTTGTATCTGCTTTCTTTCACTCGTTAGGATTCTGAGATTCTGTGTTGTTCCATGTGGCTGTTGTTTGAACATTTTTATACTGCTTACTATTTGTCCATATTTATTACTGTCTACAATATACTGCAATTCACTTATCATTAGTAATGTTTATGGATATGTGGGTTGTTTCTAGTTCTCTACTCTAAGAATAACATTGCTAAAAACATTTTCTTGGTGCAGATGGCTACATATTTGCATTTGGTATATACCTAGAAGTGTAATACCTTAGTCACAGATATTCATGTTTACCTTTAGTAAATAATGCCAAACAGTATTCTAAAGAGGTGGCACCAATTCACACTCCTACCAGCTGTGTGTGAGTGTTCCCATTGCCTCCTGTCCTCATCACCACTTGGCATCATCCATTGTTTTCATCTTAGCCTTTCCACAGTGGTGTATGGTGCTTCCACATTGTGGTTTTATCTTGTATTTTTCTGTCGAATTTCATGTATTTGTCAGCCACTTGGGTACATTCTATTCAAATAAGTCTCTTGCCTACATTTCTATTTTGCTGTGTTTTTATTCTTATGGATTTATGGGAGCTCTTTATATATTCTGAATATAAACTCATTGTTGGTTTTATATGTTGCACACTCTTTGTCACCTCTGCAACTATAATAAAGATAAGCTATTTTTTAGTTTTTAAAAATTCTTTTTTTCTCTATTATGAGCTTGGAATCTGTATTAGTTTCCTAGAGCTGCTGTAGCAAATTATTGCAAACTTAGTGGCTTGAAACAATAGATATTTATTCTCCCATAGGTCTGGAGGCCAAAAGTATGAAGTCAAGGTGTCTGCAGGGCCAGACTCCCTCTAGAGGTTCTTGGGGGGAACCCTTCTTGTCTCTTTCAGATTCTGGTGGCCATTTGCATTCTTTGGCTTGTGGTTACATCACTCCAATCTCTGCTTCTGTCTTCCCACTGTCTTCTCCCTTGTGGGCCTGTGTCTTCTCCTCTTCTATCTGTTAGAAGGACACCTGTCATTGGATTTAGGGTCCACCTAGGTAATCTAGGAGAATCTCATCTCAAGATCTTTAACTTAATAACATCTGTAAAGAGGCTTTATCCAAATACCATCACGTTCACGGGTTCCAGCAGTTAAGATTTGGACATATCATTTTGGGGGACGCTATTCAACCCACTACAGAAGTTATGCATTCACTATTATTCTTTTACTGATTACAATCAACGGTAAAACACACACCCTTGACTTACTAAAGACAAATAAATTAGTGCCTCTAATCTTTTCCCAGAAAATGCAAGGACACTAGAATACTTTAACTTAATTTACTACCCTCATGAACTACATATCATTGCTGAATTTTAGGCATTATTATTGCTTCATATAGCTAATACATGGGCAGTTCAGTCATGTAGGCAGAGTATTAATTTTTGTTGAAGTATTTATTTAATCAATGAAGTAAGAACTATTTTTTTCTAACACGGAAAAAAGTGGATCTTATTTATCTATCCATTTATTTATCCCACAAATGCTTATTTAGTGCCTCTTAAATGCCAGAGATTGGGAATAGAGGAAGAAGCACAGCAGACAAATTCTGCAAAACATGGGTTATAAAATTGTTAAACTGGAGTTTTAGTCTGGAGAGGATCTCTGAGGTTATCTGGTGCCTCAAACCTTACTGCACTAATAAGGAAACTGAGGGTTAGTAGGTTGAATGACTTTCTGTGCCTGAAGGTCACATAGTCAGAACACTAGGGTCCTTAAACTCCCGGTCTAGTGCTCATGATTTCCAGAGTGGACTTGAAGTCCCAACCCAGTAGCTGCATTTAAAGGAGACGAGGCTAGATGGGCATCTAAGAAAGACATGCAGAAAAATGTTGTTTTACAGATACAATGCATCTCTACCCATTGGAAACCAAATATTTGGCCAAAATATAATACCCATCGCCAATTCTGGGAAAAGACAAGATCTGTGGAAAGTTTCTGTAGTGAAAAACTTTAATATGTTATTAGTAATGATAATAAAGGTTAGCATCTCTTGATCACTCACAATATGCCGGGCATTGTGTTGAGAGCTTTATGAGGAAAAGAAGCCCAGGTAAGTCTCACTGTAGATTTATGAAGTTGATGTTATTATCCTCATCCCCCTTTTAAAGATGGAGATACTGAGGTACAGAGTTCAGGAACTTGTCTGTTCAGGGGGTGATGTGGTGAGTGGTGGGGCCAGGATTCTAGCCTGGAGAGCTGAGCCCCTCTGATACTCCATGCAGCCCTGGACATGGGCACTGAGCCACAGAAGGGGCAGCCATCCTTCCCAGGAGTTCCCAGTGGTGTTCAAACTGTCTCCCAGGACCACACCATTTATCCCCCGGAGAGAAGGGGAGAGAAGAGTGACTCAGTCCTTTTCTACCTCCCCTAAATCTCTTACTAGAATACTGTTATTGGTGGTTCTTCCTGTGTCGAAGAAATAACTACTATTTTCCACCCAAAATATGGCCATTGTGTCAGAAAGAGGGAGAGCCATGGAAACAGTCGATGTGTCACATGTGGTGTGTCCACATGATGTTGGCATAGTGACACAGTGAACGGGGACAGATTAGAGGAAGACAGCTGGAAATGTCCTATTTTAACAAAGCATTCTCTCTTCAGAAAAGATTACCCCAGAGTGTTTGCTCTGCAATCAGGCAATCACTTGTTAAAAATGCCCATATTTCTAGGAGGCATTAGGGACTGACAGAAACATTATGCCACCATCGCTTGTGATGAATATGAATGAGAAGGAGCAGGA